CAGTGCTGGGATTACAGGTGTGCACCACCAGGCCCAGACTTGGTCACTGGCTCAGTGAGCCCAGGGGTGGGGCCAGCATGACATGTGGTGCCAGAGATTAAACCCTGGTCCCTGTGCTTGTCTAAGTAGGCGCTTAGTCCACTAAGCTATCTTGCTGGCTCTTTTTAATTTAGTATAAAGCGAGCATAAAAATAATAGATAAGACATTAGAGATGCACATTTGAAAAACCAAGATGGAAGGTGCTCAACCATGGTTAACAGCTAGGTATAGAGTGATTATTTGTCTGCATTTTGGGAGAAACTGAAGCCAAGATACTTAACTTCCTGATTCCAAGTCCCCTGCTAGTCCCAAACACTGGAGTGGTCTCCAGCCTTAGTGAGCAGCTGGGCTCAGGGTGTGGGCACAGGGCAGACTTACCAAACTCAGACTGCATGCCAGGATAGATGATCCGGAACACATAATCTGTGGCCTCATCCTCCTCCTTGTCAGAAGACGTGGACTCAGAGGAACCCTGGGGGCTTCGCTTGCGTAGTTTGGGAAACACTTTGCCCTAGAAAAGCTAGTCTCAATGCAAGGTCCGCAGGGCAACAGGGGCTCCCACAGACTGCCCAGCCCAAGGGTCTCTGAGGCAGTGCCTGAGGCCACACCTCAGGGTCCTGAGGCAAGAAGGACCTCTTTCTATGGCAGACCTCCCCGCCTCCGGCCTACGGCTTCCCAACTACTCACCTTGCCTCGCTGAGACCACAGTGGTGGGTCGAGCTGACCATGGGGGAGCAGCCCATTCTCCAGGCACGAGAGGAACTGGAGGAGGTGGCCACCCTTAGGAAAGCGGAAGGGTGGCCTCTGGATGCCGTCCTGGCTGACCAGCACCACCGTCCCACCGCTGTCCACTGCCATCACAAGAGTCCAGAGAAGACCAGTGGGAAGTCACTATGAGGTGTGGTGAGAGACCCCCGCTCTGAAAACACATTCCCCCAGGGAAGCCAACACAAAGGGGTCCTGCTCTGAGGATCTGGGTCCTGAGACCTATGCAACCTACACACCAGCCACCACTGTCTGGGAAACTATAGGAGAAGGTCAAGAACGTTACCTCGCCACCCAAGGAAAAAAGACGCCTCCAAACAACCAATGTTACTCAAGAAACCTCTGCAAATGTGACTTATGTTTGTAAGGAGGCTTTCAGACATAAGATACCCTTTTCTCAGGGCCATAGCTACTCTGGTGAGCATGGTGAACATTTGCTGCATGCAAGTACAGCACATTATAAATTCTAGAGAGCAGACCTTTGTCTGAGTACTTATTTGTCATGATTTTTTCCAAATTTGTGGGTTGTCTTTTCACTTTGTTGGTAATTTCTTTTGACGTGCAAAACTTCTCAACAAGAGCAGGTCCCAGTTGTTAATTCTTTCAAGTGTTTCCCGTGTGATTTGATTTTTATTCATGAACTCTTTGCCTACCCCTATGTCTTCAAGAGTTCCTCCTACTTTCTTTTCCAGATTTAGTGTTTCTGTTTTAATGTTTAGATCTTTAATCCATTTTGACTTTAGCTTAGTGCATGTTATAAGCACTGCCTTATAGTAGCCACAACATCCCTAGAAGTTTTATTTTTTATTTTTTGCAGAACTGGGGATTGAACTCAGGCCCCTGCACTTGCCAGGGAAGCGCTTATTCTACTGAGCCATCTCCCTGGCTCCTAGAAGTTTTATTATTGCTTATTCCACAGATAATGAAACCAAGCATCAGAGAGGTTAAGCAACTTCCCCAAAACTACAGAACAAGTATGAGTCATAGCCTGAGTCTAAAATTAGGACTATCTCATAATTATTGGTCAGCCATAGGCCCTTTTGCTTTGTAAAGTAAATTATCTCCTGGCTGGTTCTGGGTACATCTGGCTTTAAAGGACTGCTGGTTACTGATACCTAATTTGCAGAGCACTAACTTTGGAGACATAAAGCCCTGGTTCAAGTTCAGGCTCTGGAGCTCAGAGGCTGTGTTGACTCTGTGTCCAGCTGCCTCTTTACCTGTAATGTGGGAATGATTTCACTTCATCCTCAGGTTACAATGATTAAATAATAGGCACCCTCATGTTACAGAGGGGGAAACCCAGCCCAGAGAGGCAGTCATTTGTTTGAGGCTGTACAGGTGATATGAGTTACTCACCACACTGTCTCAGTTTGCTAATGAATGTTCAGGGTTGGAGCCTGGCAGGGGACCTAAAAACAGCCAGCCAGGCCATCTGTCCTCACAGTTCCTACCTTGTTGGTGACAGTGCAGGTAGACAATCTCTTCCAGGCGGATGGTCATGGCATAGTCCCAGTAGACACTGCAAGAGGAGGGAGAGTTTAGCTTTTGGGAAGCTTACTGCCTTGTGAGAGTTCAAAAAGCCAAAAGAAACCCCTAAAGGCTCCTACATCCAGCTTTGAGAACACTAGTGATCCCTCCAAGGCCTAACATGAATCACAAACTCAGTATTTAATAGAATACAACTGTCTTGTGGTTATGTCTTAGAGTTATTTTTTAGAGATACACATTAAAATATTTGCAGATGTTCCTTCCAAATAATATGTAGGGATTACAGGACATGCAGATGGCCATAAGGCTGGGCGTTGGATACCTGTGTCCTGTGTGTAGCAGAGAGCCCTGGCCCAGTGCTTCTTCCGACTATAACTCCAAAGTTTTTCTTGGGTCTTATATATCATGTGTGTCAGAGACGACACAGCCATGGGGACCACACACTTGCTAACAACTCCCCTTTCACTGAGTGACGTGAGACCAGGAGGCAGACTCGGGAGTGTCTTGCTATTTTCAGGTTTACTAGATCACTGCACAGATTTCTCCTGCATGCTGCCCTGACCAGGGTGCTACCTGACGTCCACACCCTAAGACTCTTCCCACTGGTCTGTGGATGCTCCTGATTCTCTCACTCACCCGAGGCCACAGCTGCAGGGAGGTGGAGTGAGAAAACCCTGCAATAACCAGGCAGAGTGGCCTGGGGGCAGGGAGTAATCTCCCCCAAGGGAACTTCCCCGTGCCAAGGAGCATACAGGGACTTGGGAGGGGGGCAGACAATGAACCCAGTGGCTTACCTCTTCTCATAGTCCAGGTCCCCAACGGACCCATTCATCAGCTGGTTGGGTGTCCACTTCAAGGTCATGACATCAGCTGTTTGGTGCAGGGACAGGTACCCTGGCACAGCCTCCATGTCATCCCTCTGAAGAGAGAGGTTCACTCAGGCCTGGCCAAGGTACTGGAGCCTCAGTGGGAAGAGGTCCTGGCCTTCTGACTCAAAGATGCATAACTGCAACTAAGAGGGTGAGTTATTCAAGGCAATGGTGTAGGAAGATCCTGACTCCTTTCAGGTGGCTGTACTAAGGAAAGCCATCTGCAAAGCCTTCCAGGACAGGTGTAGAGTCCATTTTAGAAAGTCATCTACCATTACACAGTCACATCCATGTCTCCCTCTGAGGTAAAGGGCCTTGCTCCACTGCTCCTTTAGAACCAAGTAGTAGGCTATGTCTCTCTTAGTCATTCTTTTTTTAAAAAAAGATACACATGTTGGCCAATCTTATGATGGCAGCTGAGTTCTGTGGTCCATCCCATAGACAGTACCTTGACACCTGCTTCTAGAGCACCCTCACCACACTCCTATCTAGCACTCAGAGCCTCTGCCTTCTCAGAATGTGCCTAAAGGACTCCTCACCTGCTTATTTTATCCCAAACAACTGGGTAGGGAGGGCAATGTCAACATCCCTCATACACGAAGAAAGCAGTTCCTCCAACAAATTCACTCCCACGAGGACAGACAACCAACACCCACTGAGAATGAAGAGTAGACTGAGAAGTGCTCAGTCACCACACACACTGTCACAGTGAACTACATGTACACGGGGGAGCAGGGTGTTCCATAAATCCTACAATGCATATTCTATTGTAATCAGTGACAGCTCACAACTCTGATGTAGTGTGCTGTATGATCTCATGCACATTGGTCATAGTTTGTTCGCACACTGTCACCAAGCTTTGTACATAGTTATTTTACATTTGGAGAACAGGTGCTATTCTAGATGTCTTCCAAAGGATCAGCCTGTGATTCAGCTCTAACATGAAAAGGTTACTGCAGCATAGGGTGGGTGAGAGTAGTGCAGTGCTAATGTGACGCTGGTGACACAGGCACATTATTCAGTCCCACAACTCCAGAGTTCCCCAAAAAGCAGCAATCGCAAGTGATTGGTGGGACTTCAGACCTGGTTGTCTCAGAGATGAGAGTGACATTCTTACAATGCATGCTGCACCTCCTGCTATTTTGGGTCAGGGGAAACCAAACTTTTAGTGTAAAGGAACAGACAGGGAATGTTTCTGGCTTTAGGAGCCATATAATTTCAGTTGTAACTATTCAGCTGCCCTCATAGCCTGAAAAGTCATACATGATACACAAACAAATGGCCATATCTATGTTTTGAAAACCAGGTGGAGGGCCACATCTGACTCACTGCTCTAATTCATTGTCTCTTCTGTTGATATAATGGACAACTACTGTATGTGGAAAATTAGGACCTCAATGACTCTAAATCAAAAAGAGATATAGGAGATTAAACTCTTAAGTGTGGAGATACTTTAAGAATAGCTTAGATAAAGCACTTCAAATTATATTTTCTCTTATGCATACTTAAAATACTGATGTGTTATGCAAAGACAAAAAAAGCCTCCTCAGTCTAAGTAAGTCTCAAAATAGCAAGGTAAAAAATTTTCAGGTAGTGAAAAACTCCTATATGTAATTTAAATGGCATTTTTGATTTCTTGGTGGCTATATGAAAAGAACGTTCATCTTAAATTCATGGCCTTAAAGAAATAAGGAGGAGAGATGGACTAGAAAATAAATGGATAATTGGATGGATGAATGCATGGGTGTAAAGACAGTAGATGGATATAAACAGAGGCATGAGCCGATGAGGAGTGAATGCAGTGGACAGGAGAATAGGTCTGTGGTGAGGAGAGGTGACTGGCTGGTTAAGGGACCAGAGACTGACTGGATGGATGGATGGATGGATGGATG